GGGAGACTATGGAATTTTGATTACACAGTGGACGCGATGATGCAAGAAACGTATTACATACACATACATACATACATAGACTCACACATACACACACATAGACTCACACATACAGACACATACGTACATGCACACACACACACACACACACACACACACACACATACATACATACATACATACATATACAAAATTGGTTGAAACACAAACGTTAGCAGCATTATCAAGATTATCGAAGATATCACAAAAACATCAACAACAACATTTCAACAACAACAACATCAATAACAACAACAACAACAACGACAACAACATCCACAACAACAACAACAACAACCATAACTTGCCACACTCGGCTGATCTGATTAATTGCGCTAACAATTGAGTTCTGTGTTTTTCTACTTATTATGATGATGATGACGACGACGACGATGATGATGATGACGACGATGATGATGATGATGACGACGACGACGAGGCTAACGATGATAATGGAAGTCATGATGATGATGATGGTGGTGGTGATGATTGAAAAGAATGATGACGACGAATATGAAGATGCACTTGCCAAGTTGGTTGGCGTTTTTATAAGAAAATCATTATTGAAAATTTGAAAATCACACATCACCTTTTTCATCATTACACACACCCACACATACACACACACACACACATACATTACTCACATACTCTCTCTTTCTCTTTCTTTCCATTGCATAAATATAAGCCTTACACTTAAATATAATTATTATTAATTATTTGACAATAATAAATTGGCCGATAACACGATGATACGCAAATACCTTGCTTTGTTTGAATAGCGGTCAGTCTGTCTAATGTTTACTATCGACTAGGCTATCATCTAGCGTATGTGTGTGTGTATGTGTCTGTATTTGTTTGTAGGTATGTTTGTATGTATGCATGTGTGTATGTGCGTATGTTTGTATGTATGTGTGTATGTGCGTATGTTTGTATGTATGTACGTATGTATGTATGTGCGTGTTTGCTTGCTTGTATGTATGCATGTATGTGAGCAGGTATCTATGCATATACGTATAAAGTTTTAATTTATGGACGTGTGTGTATGTTTGTTTGTACGTGCGTGCGTGTGTGTGCGTGCGTGTGTATTGTATTGACGTATTAATGTGTTATTGATATGCGTGTAGATCCATTGTTTGGACACGCTGGTCGTCTGTCGCCATTGTTGACCAGGGCAGACGACGACGACGACGATGATGATGATGATGATGACGATGGTGATGATGACGATGGTGATAGTGATGACGATGATGATGGTAATGATGACGGTGATGATGATGGTGGTGCCTGGATGGATTGGTGATTCAAAAAATTTTGTGGTGTCCTGTGTCGTTCGGCTGTGTTCAATGAGGAAAACATGAGGGTGGTTATGATGATGATGACGACGACGATGAAGATGATGATGATGATGACGACGATGATGACGATGAAGATGATGACAGCATTTCAAAAATTATAGACTATAAACGATGAAAAAATAACAAAATGAAATCAATGAACGAGTAAGCAAATTAAAAATTACTCATTTGATCCTCTGAACTCTGAAAGGTCAAAGTTTGACTCGCAAATCTGACCTCTATAATCGTTTGTTTATAAATAGAACATTGGAAAAGTTTGAACGAGAACGGAGAAATTAGGATAAATGCCAATAACAGAATGAGTGATAAAACAATGAGATAAAAAGAAAGAAAGACGAAGAGAGAGAGAAAAAAAAGAGAGAAAAGAAGA